GAGTCTGGACCTTGGCTACGCAAGAGCTGGAGCTGGAATTGTCATTGATGCCATGGGGCCGCCCCTTTCAAGTTTCCATGTCTCCATCGGATTTTTTCGGGTTGTGGGAATTGCCACGTCAAGGGAGCCTTCTTTCTAAAGGCACATAGTGTGGATGGGAATCAACCTCTTTCCCACAACCTGTTTTGATTCTTCAGCCCCTAGTCATTCGGAATATCCCCGGTATGACGCTTCCATATGGGACTGTCCTTTGTTTTGATGCCCTCCCAACAAATATCAGGGCCTTGACAAAGCTCAAGATCATGAGATCTCGGGCCCAGAGATGACACTGCCTTCTTATCATAACAGCAAATTTGGGTAGTGTTGACATGGGGTCTCCAAAACAGGTCTTTTTGCTCGTGTTTTGTTTTTTTTTGGGGGGGGCAAGTCAAGGGGCAACGCCGAAGCGCCATGTTGCGCCTTCGGGGCTCGGGGTTCGTGCGAATCGAATCGCAGGCGGGCGGTGTCCATCGCACAGCCGGCGGGAGGCGGGACGACGTTTCGGAAGCCCTGCACAGCCGGTCGCCCGAGAACGGGTCCCGACGCAAACGGGCTTTGAAAGCAAAGATGGGCACAGAGAGAGAGAGAGAGAGAGAGAGAGAGAGAGAGAAGGAGAGAGAGATAGAGAGAGCAAGAGAGAGAGAGAGACAGTTCAGCCATGCTTTCTTGGTGTTTTTTGGGTTTTAGAGTGGCAGTTTCGATTCAAGAACCACAACTTGGATAGAGGTGATCATTGCTAGACTTTTCAAAAGACAAAAACAACAATGTGGTGCTTTTGGATGTCATTCATGCTCCTTTTTTGCCTGCCTTGGGTGACTTTTGCCTGGAGGCTTTGGATGTCTGGCCCAGCTTCCATGGTCTGGCAGCTTGTGACATGCATATATGAAGTACCCTCAAAGTTACTTCTGTTGAGTTTAGCATTTGGTGTTTCATCATTGTGAAATGCACAAAAATCCATGTTGCAAGCGATAGGGGACTGTTGAACTCTCAATTAATTGACAGTGCTTCATATGCCGACTGAATAAGTTACCGCAAACCGCTAAGACCCCCGGGGCTTCTGGGCTTCGGGCTTCTGTCTGAGCAATCGGACGGCTTCTGTCGGCTCCTTGGCTTGGGGCGCTGATTTCTGGTTTCAGCGCGTCGTTTGGGTAAAGCAAATATTCCATCCATCCGCGAATTGACATGGAGCCCAAAAAGGAGGTCCTAAAAGGAGGGTAATCGAAAAAAAGGGGGCGGTTTTTGGGCCGCAACCCATGCGCAAAGGGACTGCAACATAAAGCTTTGAACCTGCAGAGAAAGGCAGAAGAGAAGGCATCATGTTTTGTATGTGTGTTCTTCTCCTTGGCTGCCTTTTGGTTTTGTTGATCAGCCGTGAAAGTTGGGTGAAAATGATAAGCGTTTCCCCACTGACGAGCACACGAACATTTTTTCCGCGGGAGGTCAAAGGCCAATCTCCGAAACGTCCAGTCTCCTCGGAGATGAATAAACAAACAGTTTTTTCCCCTAGAGGACACCACAGGTGTAGATATTATTCTCTTTTGCAGGACCGGCTTCTCAAAGTACCAGACATGTACACAGTGTCGCTGTGTCGCTGTGTCGCCAGACCCAAAAGTATACTGGCCGCGAGACAAAGGCAACAAAGGCCCAGACTTGTTGTTTAATCACTATCACCACACAGATGGTCCTCTCAAAAAGCGTAAGGTCGAACAAACTGGGGAAGTGAGAGTGGCCAGAGTTCACCAAGCTGATTTCAGGACCCCTTAAGTAAAGGATTGCCATCGTGGATGAGCTCGCTTTACTGGAGGAAACCTCCAAGGATGTTGAATGGAAAGCGAGGATATTGTTCATCCAGCCTAAGGACAATCATGTGCGCAGCATAGAACCAACCCATTCAATTAGAGAGTGTGTGTGTGTGTGCGTGTGTGTTTGTTTTTGAGGGCACCCTTGTGACCCTACCTTCAAGGGAATCCAACAGGAAGACCGATGCCATTTTATGGGAATGTTACGTCTTTTGACACACACCCATGTCCTTTGGTTTGGCCCCATCATGACTAAGTTTGATTTCACACAACCCATTAAAAAAGGCTCCCGTGCAGGTTTTCACATAAAACCTGGAGGACCTCCGTTTTGTTCGAACCCCTTTCCGGGTGCATCATGTCAACCTGGGGCACTATGTCGGCCCTTGGGTGTGTCATTTTGTTCGTGAACCCCCTGGCTTCGGTGTTCCTTTCATGGTCCTCTCATAGCCCAGCAAGAACGGGTTTCCCGGGAAAAAAAAAAGGCAAAAAAAACAGAGGCCATATTCACCCATGAAACCCAAAAAACAGAGGGTTTCCCGGAAAACCCCCCCAAAAAAGCAGAGGCCATCGATTCACCCCTGCGGGTTTATCACGGCTCGGGTCGATCCGGTGCTGCGAACAGTTGGCCAGGCCCAGGCGCGAAGAGCGGAGGTAGTGGCCACACCCGCATGTCCGAGTCGAGAGAGTTGGAGTTCATCTCTGCTGTTGGGGCGGATCTTTAGACTTTAGCTTTTTGGTTGAAATAAAGGTGTTTTCCACTAAACCCCCAAAAAGTTGTCAACTTTTTGCTGCCAAGTCATGGACATACTGTGGATGGTTGCGAAATCCAGTTCGCACCGGCACCACGGCACCGGCCCGTTCAGAAACCATGGAATGATTCGATTCCCCTCCAAATACCAACAAACCATTGTTTCAGCCATGGTTTTGAAGTGGTGCAGGATTTTGCCCATCCACAGTAGGTGTCCTCTTGATGGGTTGTGGCAATGAAATGCGGGGTTCCGTACATCCGTACATCCGTACATCACTTGAAGGGGCGCTTGGTGGTTTTTTTGTTTGGCAACTCTGACTATCCAAGAAAAGGGGATCGTGTTGCTTAGGGTAAGTCAGTAAGCGCTTGCCCACTTGCTTTCTTGTTTTTTACCCCCAACTCACAACTAGGTCCCCCAGCGATTGGTGCCCTTTCTCACCCCCTTTTTTGGTTGGGAGATTCGGTTCCCCTACTAAAATAGACGAATCAGAAAAAAGTTGGCACCCTTATTCTAACCTCTCTACTGGAAGACCTAGACAAGGTTATCCACACTTGGGACTCAAACCCAACGAACTTAGCTTGGCAACGAACATCCAAGTGAGCAGCTCCAAAAAACAAGCTTTACATCCCAAGCAAGAGTTGTGTGATAACCTGATACGACATAGGGGTTCATGGGAGGGAAGAGAAGCTCTTGGTAAGCAACCTGATACGATATAGGGGTTCAGCTCCAGTGAGTTTTTGGTTCAGTCCTTTTCAGCAATTTGCAGAACATCACAGATGTTTTCGATTCCAACACCTTTCCTGGGCTTACGCACGAAGGATTCACTAATTGCAGGGCTTTGCTTGTGGATTCCCTATTTGCAGGTGGGATTATAGTCTTGCAAAGGTTGGATGCTTTCCCATTTGACCAACCCTGGGAGACGATAAGGGACCCAGCTTCCGGGCCACGGCATCGAGCTTGGCTTAGCTTCTCGTTTCTGGAAAAAGCGTCCAACCATTGCTTCCAGGGATGCTTCTTTTCAGGAAACAGGCAAAACAGCCGGTTTTTCAAGAGACAAAAAGAGGGTTGATAGAAGAATGGAAAGAATTAACCACTAGATCTTTGGGTCAATTCAATCACAGAATCTGGGAGTAGATGAAGGTGCGGGGACAGTTCCAATCATATTAGATATAGAGAAGCGGGCGCTGTTTTCGTTCTTTAACCATTGAGGAGGCCTCCTGCCTCTGCCCAGCTTTTCCTCCCAATCTGGAACCTGACTCGACTCATCCTTGGACCCCGTTCCTGGAGCCTCGAAAGCTAAGATGATGATTTTCCGACCCTGGGATTGCACAGGGACATTTTGCCCCAAGTCCCAAATAAACCCACATAAGCCAGGTTTTAGCCAGGCTAACATAGGGAGAATCAGAGGGCGCAATCTCAGGTGTAACCGGAAAATCCTTGGAATGCATCCTTTGCCAAGCCAACTTGTTGCTATATCTTTGGCCGGCTTGGGCACAGACCTGACTTGAGATTTATTGCAGCTTGCCGCTGGTGTTTTTTTTGCAGGCGTGACGCATGCGGGCAGACGGGTATGTGTGTAGTCTCCTTTCTGCAGTTTGAAGGGTACTGGTCTGTGCATAAGTTGGGTCTGTCGTTTTTGAGGGTACCGAAATTCCCTCTAATTCCTTCGCGGGTTTCGAAACCACTCAAAATGACTCCCACAAATTGTGTGCCGATCTCAAGGGCATGTTTTTTTTTGAGTATGTTTTTTGAGGCAAACCAAAAGGCACACCACCATGTTGTGGGTCCAATCGTGTGCAAGACACACCCAGATTAGGCAGTTCCCTATCGGTGCTGCGAAGAGTTCAGGGCATTTTTTCGTGTCCGCCGGCCATTCCGCGCCATTGCTCCCGGCCAGCGCGCACAAATACAATCCAACATGTTCCGACACACCGGGAGGTAGTAGAACGGTTTTCCCCATTCTGTTGCAGAGGCCCTGGCCTACTTAGTGCTTTAACACGTTTGCCTGACGTTTTCTTTACAGGGCCAGCATCCGCCGTACACCTTCTCGCCCAACAGGTCGGCTCGCGTCGGCGTCCTTGAAAGGCTCTTATGGGTATGGGTTAAAAAAATCAATTTATTAGGGGACCGCAGGTTTTAGTCTTTGGTTCCATTTATCAGGGTTCCATTTTGGGTACGCATTTTTGACCCACAGCCTTTTCAAGGACTGGTGTAGTTGCCACGTTTCCCTCGTATCAGAGGGTTTGGCTTGCTGTCAAGTTAGTATATATCTCCATGCACCAGCTGAACCAACCAAACACTCCACTGGGTGCTAGACAAATTACTTTCGATTGCCCCTCAATGAAACCACAAGGGTATGACATGGATGACGTGTTTTTCCAAGTTAAACAGAACACCCAGTCTAGCAGGGCCAGTTTTTCCTAAGCAAAAGTTTCCTCGCTCGCGGTGGCATGCCTCCGCCATGTATGCGCCAATCCGAGTGCAGCCTGAAACCAAGTGCCTTGGGCAGAGTCAACCAATCCGATTGGCTCCTTGTTTGGCTCACTTGAAAGCTTCCATCTGCTGCAATGAATGTTTCTTTTGTTTTGGTGTTAAAGGGAATCTACCGCTAGTGCACATATTTGTTTCAGGGGACATATGCGCAAATGGAAGGAAAGGAACCCGAATTGAACCAGACCAATTGGAGGGTATCCCTAGTGTCGACTCGCGGAATTATCGACTAGTCAAAGAACAAAAGCCCTTTTCGGAAGGCCTTTTGCTGCTTGCTTGCAACGATCTAAATGTGAGTCACAATCAACGTAGAGAAAAGTAGCTTCCATTTACTGAAATGAACTTTTTGTAATTGTCTGTTTTGGTTTTCAAGGGAATCTATCACTTCTGGTAATATGTTTCTTTTTCCAGGGGGCTTAAGCAAATGGAAGTTCCTACGGAATAGTGCCAACCCCACAACATTGCGAATGACTTAACTTGCCTTTTTATCTTCTTGCCTTTTTGGGGTGTCCATCATTCTGCCTTTGAGCTAGCAGATTAACAACTTTTTGCAGGGGGGTCTTAGTCTCAAGATAGGTGCGGAGATCCGCGGCAAAAGGGCATACCCCTCAAGTGTTTGCGACGAAGCCATGGATTCATAGGTGTCCTTTTTGGTTGTTTTGGTAGACCAATAGATGGTGATTCCTGTTTTTCCTGGTGGTTTAATCATCTACCAGGGCCATCTATTTGCCCTAAAAGGACACCTATGCATGGAGTGTACAAAGCTGCGGATATCTTAGACATTTATCCACAACGCATACCAAGCTGTGTTGAAGCATCGACTTAGTACCTGCCCCAAAACGGTTTGCATAATGTGAGCAGAGCCCAACAGACAAGTAAAGTTGCCATTTTGCCAAGTGCTACCTGATTTCATGGGGGGTACTGCGATTTTGGTTGGGTTCCTGAAGTGGTTTTCGTATCAGATCCTCGAAATCAGCGAGCGACTTTTTAGCTATATACAGCTGGTATCTGGGGAACCTTCCCAAAAAAGTTGTCGTTTTGGTTCCCCTATCAACCACAATTTGGACGGCTTGTCTTTTTTTCAGGGTTCTTTGTGTGGTTTGAACGAATTTCAATAAGAAATCCTTCCTGTGTTGGGCGGCGTCCCCAAAAAAGACACACCTATCTGGGGTCCATTTTCTGGGCTGTTCAAAGGTAATCCTAAATCCTTACCTTCGGTTACGCCAGGGGTCCCTTTTGTAGTGGCTTCCCTATAGGGATGGACTGGGATTTGCCAACCCGCCCAGATTTGCAGCCCTCATGGCCTTTCCAAAATGGGTCCATGACCCAAAATGGGTCCATGACCCCTTTATTTTGAACAATGCCCCCCTTGTTTAAGGGTCAGAAGGAGACTCCAGGCGCCCATTTGGGGTCCATGTTGAGCATTTCCCTGCGAGCGAGGTATGAGGCGGAGGTGGTGGTCTTGGTCACGTCCCTCGGGGCGAAGCGCACCGAGTTCAACGCCGGGAAGCGTGCCAGGGACCGATGAGATTCGGTTCTGTTGGGAATGACAAATGGAACGACCCTTATAAACCACCCCTAGTGTGGATGGGCAAATTCCTGCACCAGTTGGTAGGTGGTTTATCCCTTTTATTTATGGGGTTTTATCCATCCCAAGTGGTGCAGGATTTCGTCTACCCACATTATGCTTTCCTTTATTCAACCACATTCCTACCGATTTCGCACCACCAAGTCATTCATGATCAGGATCTGCTTGGGATGGAGTCTTGGGATTTGGTTGCCATGGAAAAAGCCGATGACTCTTGGCATCACCACCATGGTGTTTCTGTGTATGCACGGAATCCGTTCGCACCACGAAATGAAACCATCGTTGAAACCATTGTTTCCTGCGATTTGCAGGGGAATCATCAGGCCTGGGTTGTTTACCCTTGGATTGTCATCATGTATGGATCCTTGCCTTTTTGTGAATCGGGGTTGAACCATAAAGGGATTTATGTTTGGCACCGTTATTGTTGTATCACCACCGTTGGTTACCTACAATTCATTAAACACACTTGTTCTTAAAGGGTTGGGCCAACGGTATTCTCCCATCAATTCATGCTCTGGTGGATGCAGCTCCGCCAGAGGTAGCCAGGTGTGTTTGGCCCCACTGTGTCTTTCCTTCGGCACAGGGCAGCATTTTGTGGATCCCCTACAAAGACACCCCTATAACCAAGTTGCGATCGCTTTTTCAGTCACTGTTGCTCGTTTTTTGGGTAAAGTGCATGGAGCAAAACAGCAACTGGCGATCCAGGCCCCCATACCGGATAGTCGCCAGGACCTATTGGAGATCAAGGGCGCTCGGACCTCAGCGAATAGAAAACCGAAGCGACGAGGTTGATCGACTCCAGGTCCAAAACGGGGCCATAGTCTTCTTGGAAGCCAGCAATCCGGTTCCTTTATTTTAACATATTTGTTTGGTGGGGATTAGTGGGCGGGTCCATTTGACCCATTATGAGTTAGGCCTAACAGTTAGGCTCTTTTAGCAGGAGATCTGCAGCCCAGTGAATTGTCACTAGAATTCCTTTCCCATGACAGCTGTTGCTTGTCACACACAAGCATGGTTGGCGGTTTTATTCTCCGCTTATGATGTTGCTTCCCTCTAATACTAGCAAGTTGTTTAAGCTGGCCAGTTTAGGACCTGAACGACGGTCGATTTTATACAAAGTATGATATCTGCATATACATATATATATATATATGTGTGTGTTACTTGACAATGTTCACACTGTATCTTGAACGCGGTTTGGATGTTAGGATATTGAAAGAGTACTTAAATATTACTAAAATGGACCAACTGACTGTGGGAAGCAAATCGGTGAAATCCAGAAAACCAAGAGAATCAACGCCGTGGGAGGTTTGATCTCGGGTGGGCTTTCAAAGTCAGAATTGCAGGTTTATTAAGCAGGCGCCTACTTGCTTGGGCACTTCGTTTTAGGGAAACCCCCAAGATGATGAGTTCGGCTCGCTCCCTGAGTTCCGTTTCGGACGTGAGACACATTTTGGGGTTAGGACCATTTGAGTAAACAAAAGTTCTAGGTCTTTTTCTGGCCAATCAGAAAGCGGCTAACCTTGGTTGCTACTACTAAGTAGCCTGCCGTGGTGGACGGTCCCCTTGCCGCAGGCGCGGCAAAAAGGCCTTTAAGTTATTTATGTTGGTTTGTGTAAAGCCCCTTGTACCAAGTGTGAGCAACAATAAGTTTGCCCCATTTCTGGCCCCCCGTGTCCTGGTTGAAATCTCTGTGTTTTTGCAAACTTTGCCTAGGTGTGTTTTGTTGAGGGTCTTTTTTGGGTGGTTCTAAAGGGGAAGAGACACCTCGCTTGTGGTTGGGAAATCCATGTTTGAAATCTCGATGCGAAGTCATGTACCTATTGCTTCCATTTGCTTACAACTATGTTTTTTTTCATTGTTGGTTTTAAAAAGCAATTTATCACTGAATTTCTCATTGTCTTCCAGCAAAAAAAGCAAATGTAAGATTGGAATAGGTGAGGCTCGGTTTCCTTTGAGACGATCCCACCTATTGCTCTAGGGGTTGATTCCCCATTCTTTTCAACCATTGCTCTTTTCAACAACCATTTGTTTTCCCAGGTTGTTTGGGTGGTTTTCTAGAAAGAAGAATCCCTGGACAGAATGTGGAAGCTACCCTTAGAATTGCGTGCGAAGTGATTCAGTACGTGAAGCGAAGTTGTGTGAGGCCCACCACAAGATCATCGACTTCAATCGGGACGCTCGTCAAGCTGGTACAGGTGATGCCGAAAACAAGGCGGGGAAGTGTGTAAAAACAAAAAAAACTGTGGATGGTTGCGAAATGGAATCCAGTTCAAGCACCACCGTTCAGAAACTCTGGAATGATTGGACCTCCCTTTAAATGCCAACTGCATGGTTTCAAAGTGGTGCAGCATTCCGTCCATCCAAAGTATGGCTATGAATGTTAAGAGTCGGATTTACCTCAACAGTTGAATCCCTGCCTAAATGATGTCCACCAAAGGGTCCCTTCTCAAATTCATGCCCGTATTTCTGACGCACCGGGGGGACGGAGGGGGGGGGGAACCACATTGCACATTGGAGTGGGCGTCCCAAATTCGTTGGGCTCCGTCTTATGTCCGAAATGTAAAATTTAGAACGAAATCAAGCCATTCCAGGAAATTGGCACATTAATGATCTTAAATCCTCGCATTTATGAGTTTGCCCCTTATATTGCCTCACGCTTCTACTAGTGTTTTCCAACTTACTGACCAGGGGGGGGGTTGTTCTAAGCGCTGGCCGCACGCCTTCAGCGCCCAAAATAGGTGGGTTCCGGTGGTTTCAAGGTTGGCTATGTTCCCAGTTGCTTACATGAAGCCTAAACAGTTCTTCCCCAGAATTCGCTCCCCTTTTTCCTTTTTTGCTTTTACAAAGGGTCCCCTTTGTTTCACGAACCAGGCAAAAATGATGATTTTTTGCTGGGCCCCGCTTTTTCCAGCCTAGAGTTAAGGTAGGTGTGTCCATCATTTTAGTAAGGATTTCAAGCTTTGCTGGCAGGTTTTGTCCATCATTCTGCTAAATCCATCACCATGTTTTGGAGGGGGGCAACCCCCACAAACCTTTACAACCGTGATGATATATTGAGTTCTGCTGAAACCACGAATTAGGGCTAAGGTGTTTCACTCAGCTTCTGGAGTTATCACCCTGGCGCATCACAGGGAGTCACGGGAATTCCTTGCCCTTAAGTGATCTGGATCCCAAACTAAAATGCCGCAAGGCAACCCATGAAGGAAAGCCAGGTGCCAAAGTCTTGTGCGGCCTATGTCTTTTGAAAACATGATCATGTGAGCAGGAAACAGAACCTGCCCAATCGCGCCGAGTTCTCGCGCCTGGCTTCCAGTGGCACCAACAAATTCTGGGAAACCGGCTCAATAGATCAAACAGCTGGTGTCATTGAAGGTGCAGTGAACATTTCTGTGAGGGAGTGGCCGCTTTTTAACCTGCAGGGCTGCACTGCAGGTTTATAACACTTTGGGCATTGCAGTGTCCTCTGCAGTGCCCTTCGCTCAAGGTGCCACAACACACACACACACACACACACACTTTTTTTCATTTTATGTGTTTTTCTTCTTTTTTTTCCGATCGCACCATGTGTGGGTGGTTTCAA